TATATCGCTAATAAATTCATGATATTGCTTTGCTTTAAATTTGAACGGTGTATATACATATTTACATAATTTACATATTTACAATTATTAAACGTTGCATAATTTTCCGTAATTTATTAATTAGAATTATTAAATAGTGTAACGTAATTCTTACGTGATTGTTTTTAGAAGAAACATTTTTCTGTGCTCAACGGAGAGGAAAATGTTAATAATTTTTCATAACAACGGTATAGTTAATAATATTTTGTACGTTATTTTATGACAAGCGGAAGAATTCATTTTTTGTGCTCAATGGAGGGAAATGTTAATAATTTTTCATAACAACGGTATAGTCAATAATACTTCGTACGTCATTTGTGACAAGCGGAAGAATTTTATTAGCCAAGTAAATCCACATATTTCCGTTGAAGAAAACAGCTTTTAGAATGTATGAGTCCGCCAAATCCCCGATATCTCCCTGGTGGAATTCATGCGACGCGGTTGCATCGAGAACTAAATTTTCTAGAAACGTTTACCTTGCCAATAAACTTACTCAAATGCGAAGGCGTGGTAGAATGTGGTACGGAAGATGGAGCGAGGGAAAGAAGAAGCGAGAGAATTCGAGAACAGCTGTTTAAGGGACATCCGGACGGGGAGATGGGCGATTGAATACTTTTATAACTAAATTTCGTGTAAGACAGCAAGAATTTACGTTGTTTCATTCCGTAAGGAATGTCACTACCAATCTGCCAAAGTATTCGAATATTGCGCCCGATGATCTCACAGATGCCAGAGATTCTATCTCTCGAAAAGCTACAGAAAGCTTGCCGACAGCGTGTATTGCAGTGAAGGTACATCGGAGGGGCAACTCAATAGAAACATATCTGTATCAATAAATTGGATTGCTCGAAAAGATCGGTAAATTGAGTTTCTTCTAATAATACTATAAAGTCGCTTTTAAAAAAGGATTTGTATAAAAAATCTTGATTATTTGGTACGTTTTATTTAATCAATTATTTCAGTAAATTTATATTTTTTAATTTACATTTTTAATTATAAATATTTTCGCAGAGGTAAAATTAAAATAAATATTTGCGATTTAAAGTATCGTTTCGAATAAATTGCCGCAAAGTCCGTGTACATGTAATATCATGTCACTTGAAATTGTGACGTATTTCATCGACTGTTTATGACTCTTGAGAATTATGTCATATTTATTACGCAATTAAATAAAAATATACATATTTCGCACGCCATCTTATAAAAATTGCGCGCTAACTTCCAGTTCAGCTATTAGTTCGGATTCGTGCCATGTCTTTATCATTTTATCACGCAGAAGCGAAAGCAGAATTTTGGATAGACTGTTCATTGAGGAAGTTAATATGGTATACGGCATAATGTAATTAGCGAAACGTGGGTTTTCATTACAGGATAAGCCACGGTGCAGCTTCCTAGGAATTCAATTTAGTCCGACTGGCCAAGGACTATACGATTTAACATGCATCAAAGAGGCGGAAGGGTTTAATGAAACATGGCTATAATCACCGGTAACACCTTTCCTGCGTACGAACGCAAAATTATCCCGTGACCTTTCGCGGAGCGACAATTCCCGGGATTGAGCCAATAATTAAACATTTACTTCATTAACGTCACAAGATGAAATTTTCATATCTTGCTTGTTAAACAGAACTAATTCGCGAGGATTTTGTCAAAAATTACATTGTAAGCTTCGATAATCACAAGTGAAAATTATTCGATTAAGTAGATATAAATCGTGTGTATTTTGGTATATTTTATTATCGGGAAAACGATTATATTGTAAAGATTAATTTTATTGAAGAGGATTTTGTTAAAGAGATTGTGAATAACGGACGATAAACGAGATTAAATTACCGCAGCTGCACAATCGAGTTTTCACAAATGTACGTGCGTGCAGTTTCTGCTATGCAAATTCGTGCACTACATTTCTCAAACGCAGAAGCAAGATTGTACGATATGAAACGCAGCAGGTGCCACATGGTGCCCCGTATGAACATGTGCATAGAAATATTGAAATTATTATTACAGCTTCTTAAAACCGAGCTGTGAAGAATGGATTTCTTTATCTGTTAATGATGTCTCCAACAAACTTTATAGATCTCTCCTCGAGTATAAATTCTCTTTATCTTTGACAAGTTTATACGCGAACTTTCTTAGCCGCATATTATTGCCCAGAACTAAATTATAGAAACATTTCAAATATTCTAACGAAGTTTGTTTGACATTTAAATCTAATATTACAGTGAAGCTGCTTTTGAAATTTATTTTGTCTAGTAATTCGATATTCTGGTAATTCGATATTTTATATATATTTCAAAAGTCTCAAATAGGAGGATATCACGTAGCGCGGAAAAACTGTCTCAATTTTCGTGAATATTGAAGTTTGTTTATTTAAATTCAGCATACGCGCTGTAAAATGTGGACGGTGTCACATGGTCTTCTGATCGCAGATATGCTTTATAATTGTAGCTATCATATGCAGAGCTTGACGTCATGCGCATCACTGAAATTGGGTTTGAAGCATCACTAATCTAGCGCCGTAATAACGTTAATTACGTTACGAGGGCGAGTGACAAATATTTCACGTTATATTGTTGCCAAAATTATTGTTTACTCTCGTATCTTATTTGTATCAATTTCAACATCAATCAATTTCGATTTGTGACGTCGATTCTTGACAATTTTACAAATTCAGCCGTATCAACCGTTTCCATTGAGAAATGCGATAGGTTCTTCTAATATCTGTTATCATTCTTCTATCTCTGTTAATAGTGAGCACGCTTTCAAATATGGTAGTTCTTTCTTTATCGCAATGTTCAATATCATGGCATAAAAGGATGTTCGAATGCGCGTCGTTTCGAGCCGCGCTTTCACGTTCAAAGGATATTACCAAACGCCCACAAAGGTATATGATCGCAGTTAATGTCGACGACATCTGACCGAAATTTGCAAACTGTTTCAGAGTTTACGCGAAGCAATAATATTGCGAAGGTACTTTGAGTCACTTCCATTAGAAGTGGCGTAAACGCGGGGGTGGTGTGAGTCAACGCTAAATCACAGAACATCATATAATACCTGCAACACGTTGTCCAATATAAGTCTCGAATGAAATTAGTTTGATGAGTAGAGTAAGATAAACTATCGTAATTATATATATTACAATTTCCCGCGTTTTTTTCGTTATAAAATATAAAGATTCGTTGGAATATTTAGTAAGATTTAAATTTTTTTTTATAAAAGACACAAACGTTATCGGTCGTTATTTTCAAATCTGAGGATAATATGTAAAAAGATATGGATTTTATAGAATGCAGTAAAAAATTGATTGCGTCGCAAAGCCTATATAAATGCTGATAGCGACTGATTCCACACGGAGGTTCCAATCGTAGACGTCAAACGCTACGCATTTTCAGCACTTGGCAAACCGCGCGATATTCCCTTCATTATCATTTTCACTCCGCGTATTCCCCGTAAACTACAGTGTAATATATCCGCGTTCATAAACGGCGTGTCGCGGCCGCCGCGGGATTTAATTCATCTCTGACGGCGCGATCATTTAATTATAGCGCAGCTGGCACGTATTTCGCATATTATGTACCAGATTAATTCCCGCGACTCGTATCTCGTCGAATTTTCATAAATCCACGTGGAAACGCGGAATCACAGTGTAGCCGATATCGCGCTACCGGCGTCGTCACGTTTCTCCCTGAAAAATTAGTGTCAAAACGTGACGACCGCCTTGCGCGAGCCACGTGCACGTGACTCGGATTCACGACGATCGATTAAAACGGGATTTAACGGGCATTGTATAAACGCTCAGTTACCTTGAGCGTTGTGGAAATAATAGAGAATTGAAATAAAGTGGAATGCCGGAAACATCGAGCGGGTCGCGTGCCGGTATTTTATTTCTCATAATAAATTCTACGAGCTCTGTTATCGGGCTGTTTTTATAAACTTACATTCGCGATTTCGCTCTACTATTTTGGTGATTAATTTTTTTACGGTCTGCAAACAGGTTTTTTAATCATTTTCAATAATTGCCGAATTAAATATCTAATTAAAATTTACATCAAAATAAATTTCTCGAAAAAATTAAATAAACAGCATGCATTTTATAATGCATTTACTTATACATCGTATTATTACAAAAAACACACAGAAACACGTACACGAATGTAATACTAGTATTTCAAGATTTTTTTCCTTCTGTCTTTTTGCCTCTTAATTAAGATCGGTAACTTAAACATAATTTTATCTCTATCTTCCTCTTAATTAAGAAACAGAAAAACAGATAAAATAATTTTAAGCTACCGATTTTTTAAACGAGAAAGCTATGTAAAATAAACCTAAATAATGTCGCAATTGCCAACTCGGTTTATGAAAATACGCAGCAGTTGAAAGATAACGAAAACAATATCGTGCTGTTAGAGAGAGCAAATCATCCGGAAATTATCACTGTTAAATAAAATATAAAAGGGCTTTCGATCCTTCCTGCATTTTATTGTATTTTTTAAGCGGTCTCGTTTGTATGATCGCAACTGGACGTAATTTGTATTTGTGTGATGTTCTCCGGAGCACGCTGATGCGTGATATTAAGCTTCGTCGTTCTTCGGAAGCGTATCCGTAGAGAATTTAATGAAACTGCATAACGGGGATCGACGGAGAGAAAGACGAGTGTTCTTTATCAAATATTTCAATTTCCAGATTCTTCTTGCATTATCTTCATTATTGAAGTTTATTGCAATGTGTGTTATTATATAGTAATTGTACATAATTGAATGCAATTGTGTTGTGTAAACGCCGATAATATTTTATGTATCATTATTTATCGCAATTATCTCATATAATTAATTGCAATGTATCGATATATATCAGATAATAGAACATTGAAGGATATGAATATAATTTCTGAATTTTTTTAATGCAAAACCCAACATGCAAAGAAGACCTATCGATCCGTAACCGATCACGTCTCGCTACAGGTGACATGCCAGGGCGAAGAAGGCAGCCAATGCATACCAAAGAAGATCTTTCTGGCGTTGCTGCGTTTACCGGAAGTCAGCTCGAATCTGGCGGCGTACTCGAGGACGGCGAGGATAATTCAGGAGACGAAGGACCATAACGACATGGCTCATCTGAAGGCTCTCGGTTCCGAGGAGAACGACGACGCTGAGATCTGCATACCCGGCGGTGTCTACCTGGAGCTCTTCAAGGATCCGGCGTTACGTGGACATCTCAGCGTCATGGCGCGCACTCACAAGCTGCCCGAATTTCCCGGACGTATTCTGGACAATGAGGAGATCGATTCGCGGGACCTGATCCCCGAATCGGAAAAACGCAGCGTCGCTACTTTGGCCAAGAACGGCGATCTACCGGTTACCACACACGAGCGCGAAGATGACGACGAGGATGACGATGAGAAGAGGAGCATCCTTTCTAGGTATATTTTCTGGAGACCTTTCCAAATCCTAAATGTCGAACTTAATAATTTTGAACAGGAAATATATTTAAAATCTCCGCACAAAGAGAAGATGCCGCGATAATTTCGAAACGAAAGAGTTATAGAAATCATTATATTACATTTTAATGATCTTTTGGCCCTCGTTACGAATAAATAAACACCATTTAATTATTTCGTAATATGATCTCGTGTCAATTTTATTATTAAGAAGATTACTCTGTACCACTTTATTTATTCAGTCACCCGAGTTAATCGATTTGTCGAATTAAGTGACAATGTGGACGAGCTGATTAATGGACGCGTGTTAACGGATGACGACAACCGCCGACGAGCGCTCGGGATTTATGACTACCTGGCCGAACTGGACCCGGAAGTGGCGGAGTATCCGTTAGACAAACGTAACGTCGGCTCCCTGGCGCGGGACTTCGCATTGCCCACCGGCAGGCGTCACATCGGCTCGGTGGCTCGCGATTACGGTTTCCCGAGCGGAAAGAGGAACATCGGTTCTCTGGCCAGACAGAGCACGCTGCCTTTGGGCGGCAAGAGAAACGTCGCTTCTTTGGCGAGAGACTCCATGCTGCCGCAGACCGGTAAGAGAAACGTCGCCGCTCTGGCCAGGGATTCCGCTCTGCCCTATGGTAAGCGATATCTCGCCTCGCTGGTCCGAAACGGCGGCTATCCGGTCCGCGTAGACGACGAGAGCGGCAAGCGTAGCATCGCCTCGTTGGCCAGGAACGCCGACTGGCCCAGTTACATGAAGCGAGGCGGCACCGCTCCACACAGGGTGATCTTCCTGCCGTGGGTGCTAAACCGTCAGGGGAGATCCCTGAAGGACGATCACGAGACGCGCAGCGAGCCCTTGGACCTACAGCAGCTCATCAGACACGACAATGGGAACGATGCCAAGGCGAGCGTTGCCGGCAACTGGCCGGCATCCTTCAGCGTCTCGGAGAATCTGGACGTGAACAGGGGGAAGAACAGGTCTAACAGGAGGATCGACGCCGCGACTTCGCAAACGAGACACAAACGACAGATCGACTTTTCCGACGAGTATCCGCTGCCCGTCGTGCAGAACACCAACATGCTCGATTACGAGGACATGATCGAGGCACTCGCCGATCATTACCCGAACGCGGAGAAGAGGTTCATGGGTGAGTAAATTCGGAGCGCGTGATATTTCAGTTGGTATTCATCCGGGGATTAATCCACGGGAGAGGTCCCGCGGAATACATTTTACATTTATAGCGCGTGATATGCGATATTTCGGTCAGTTATTAATTTATGATAATCTATCGTAAACGTTATGACACGAGCGAAAGGCTATCCATTTCAAATGTCATAGCACTATCGCGGATTTATCGCGCAGGGATGCTCTCGTTTTACGTGAGTAAAATTCAATTTTGTGCTTTCTTTCTTTCTTTTTGTTGATCAATATTTAAGCTCGCCAATTGATCCGGCAGTCAGAATCAGCGTTAATCGCGGGATCACAGTTGGCAATCGCATTTTTTTCGCTCCCTCTCGTACTCGCGACGCATCCATGGCGCGTCCCGTCGCTCGTTTCACATTCACCCTCAAAATTTCCACGATAGCAGCAGAAGAAGCTGCAGAGTTCGACACCGTCTGTTGTCAACCATAACTCTGTCGAGAACAGGTTCCGCGCCGGAGGTGCCGGCCGACTCGGGCTACCCTGAAGTGTTGCAACCGAGTAAGAGACATATCGGGGCCCTCGCACGCCTCGGCTGGCTTCCGTCGTTCCGTGCATCACGATTCTCTCGGTCACCGCGATATCTGGTCGAAAGGTCAGGCCGTTAGGCAGCCGCTCTCTCTCTCTCTATCTCTCTCTCACTCTCTCTCTCCTTTGCCGTGTCCTCTTCTCCTACCTCGATGTGTGATGTCAACCGTTTCGCCAGTACCTGTACTCAAGTAGAGCTCTACCTACAGACTGAGAAAATATGTCATATCTATGTGTGTGCCAGTAACGACAGATCTATCAGCCACGTCACGTCACGTCACGTCACGTCAAAATGATAACTCACCAAATACCAACAACTACCTACCACCATCTACAAATCACCACGTACAAAACAAAACGTTCTCCAATTGTGTCTTCTTCTTCTTCTTGTTCTTCTACTACTACCACGATACCACCCCGGGACTCATCACGGTAGTTGGGTGTACAATGTCTCGATGTAATGTCTCGCTGTTAGAGACTAGCGGCTACTATTAGATCGCTGGTTAGAGCGCTGGTAGTTGATCGATGTTAGACGATTAGACGGCGTAGAATCGGTGTTTTAGTTAGTAATTCTTAGTTTGTCTCAATGTCTCTTATCGAATGATTCCCAACATTAATTAATTTGTTATTCTTTCAAAAATATATTTAATTGTTCAAGTATCACGAATGAAAAATGTGGTTTATTTATTTATTTGGAAATTTCTATCTGTCTGTACGTATAACTTTTAACTATTATTACGTGACTCAACTGTTGGGAACCATGAGTGCCGTGATGCGGCATTTTTCTAGATATGTTCAAAAGTGCAGTGTTACACTGGAATGGTTTTTATATTGTTTTATTTTTATTTTAATGGTCTGCGCGACGTTATGTGATTTTTCAGCGAAGTGGTAACTCGTGCAATCGATAGGCAGGATTAAAAACCATTGCTGAAGGACACTGTGTTACATTGGTGTTATATTTTCAATGTTGAACGTTCCTACACTGTCGGAGTCTCTCTGGAATCATCAAATTGGCTCCATAGGGGCCAAAAACATTGATAATCACTTATAATTAATGCAAATTTTTATGCTGTATATATTGGTTATTTATTCTTCTCTATATTATTCCAATTTTTTTCTGTAAAATAAAGCGTTTTTTATAGGAAAAAATTTGAAACTTTTTAATGAATAACCAACAGCTGGTGTGCATGAATTAACTTTTGTTTTTTGTCGACTGTTCTGTTTCATTGTTTCCGTCATATAAGTGTCTGTGTTGACGCTGTCAGCACTGCGCGCTATCGATTAGTTACGTGTGTTTAGAATTGATCCAATTGTGTGTGGTTGTCGAATGAGCGGCGTTCTGCCGAGACATAACGAGTGCGCAAACGAATTTCAGGGAGGATCCCGCAGATGGGTCCTCGTCCAACTACACCCCCAACGCGTCGACTCGGTCGCTAAGACCGATCATCATCCCGAAAACCCGCTACCTGCAGGCCCTGCACGGAGATTGTCGACATGGCTTCAAGAGGTTCCTGTTACCGGACATCGATAACTTCCTGCGGACGTCGAACTCGCGCGTGATCGCGTCCCGTTCTATGTAAAAGCACATCCTTGCCTCGCTGTACTCGTCCAGGGCGGCGACGTCACATACAAATTACGTTACATTTGGACTCACGCGTTTTAACTCAGCGAATCGTAAGGGGAGTGAGGGGAAATGGATGTAAATATTCGGATCTTGTGATCTGACGTTCTTCCTTACTGGCCACTGATCATCCCTTGTCAACGGTAGATATCTACGAATATATAATATATACCTCGATTATTAATGATCTTTCAAATAATAATCTAAGCGTATAATAAAAATAACAATATAGCAAAAAGTTACTGTAAAAAAGAGAATCAGTTAATCGAAATTAAAAAAGGTGAAACGGTAACGGAAGTGAGGAAGTCCGTCACGCAATTTAATCAGCGACTGGTCCACAGATTCATATTGAGAAGAATTGATCTTGTCGCAAGATCCGTCGATGGACAATAAGCTTACTGCTCACCGACAATAATAGTTTCACGTAATCCTAATGTGACGCCTTAAATGTGCCGTCTGTATCGAACAGATTTTAAATCGTTATGCAAAAAGCGTACATCAGGAAAGGTAACAGATTTTTCTCGCTCAAAAATAAAAAAAGTAAGATTTTCTGGATGTTTATGTAAAGGACTTCGTCCTCGATAGGCTCTAAATTTACGAATTTCTTTAAATACGCATATATGTTTCTCTTGATACTTGTACGTCGATATTCTTAATGTCGGTGTATGGCAGACGTATCTGCTGACTTTTATAATTCGTAATCTTTCGAAGCAAGGCGAGAAATATCCTTGATCAACTTAAATATTAATAACAATAATTTTATAACAACAATCGATTGGCTCATGGTTTGCAATTTAGCATTGGTCTTCGATTATTAAGTTAATATTGAAATTATTGATGAATCACTTTTGGACGATTCAAGCAATACCTCGCAACTCTTTCCCTTTTTGTTGCGTCGTTCGCGACGATATGAACGAAGAGGGGACGAGAGGCTAATTTAGCCGTTAATTTAACGATAAATCATTGCCAGATCGAAATATTTTATTCCGCGTTCGATTTCCCATTTAAATAAGCACAATCGCTGTAGAAGCTATACGTTGCTTTGATAATTATTATTTAGCCCGGACTTCACCGATAAATCACTGCGAGATCGAAATATTTTACGCTCTCGGCGGCCGTGGCGAACCGTAAGATCGTAAAAAAAGAGGATAAAGAAATTCGCGTGCTTTAATTCGGCGACTGTTACTTAGCGAAAGCCAAGTGAATTGCCGTCGAACAAAGTGTTAAAAAAAATTATATAATAACTGTAATAAGACATTTACTCCCCAGATATTTCTCACCATGTTACGATTAATACTTTTCCCCGTCGTGTGATTTTAGGTAGTTGTGGTGTTAAGAGTCCCAGATGCAACGAATATAATCATTACATTTGTTATTTGCTTGAAAAACGTATTCGCTTAAACCATATCAAGTATGACTTCATTGATAGAATGAAGCAATTTCTAATTCTTTTTACAATTTTGAAGTTTACCTAGAAAAGGATTTATGGAAAATATAAAGTGTATATTAATTACATGCATGTATTTAATAACAATTTCCAAATTTTTACACATGGCATTATTGCATAAATGTTTTTTTTATGATAAATTCAATTAAAAGAATGTTGCACAGAAGCGTTCAAAGATTTTAAAACAGGAAACAAGGAAAGTGGCACGCATTTTTCATGTAGCAAACTTAAATAAAGAGCATCACTTCGCGATGCCCATCCTTGTTTCTCGTCTACGAATATTGTCTCGTTGTTATTATCGTTATTTTCTCGAAATCCTATAATTACAGCCGTGAGAATCTCGATCGTCCGCACACACGTAAGATCGACGAAGCCAGAAAATAATCTCCGTGAGCGTAGTAACATGTACGATGTAAATGCCAGATTTAGTGCTCAGGGAGCTTGCGAGCTCTCGATGGCGATAACGCGAAATTCGGTTTCATCCTAGTCTCCATTGTATCTCATTTAAATATTGTTAGAAATCGTCGTTGTGTAACATGTATGTGGTATTGCACGTATACAATCGAAATACGCTCGATGTCGCGGCATCATCGGTCTATCATTGCTGTGGATGACATATAAGTCTCTGTCGACTTCTCTTTAACTTTACGACTTAAAGTACTATGTGTTTGTCTAGACAATAATGGATAACCGAAGTGACAATAAAACGATAATAATATTGAAGTAATAAACACGAATTTCATTCCGCAAATGAATACTTTTTCCGTGTTTTCAATTGCTAAATAATATCATTAAATATCGTTTATGATATTACTTGCAGGACACAAAAAATTTTGTTTGTGACGTTACTAAACATCAAGGAAGAAAAAATATATCAAATATGAACAGCAGGTAACAAACATTTTATTATGTATTTTTATTTCATGAATTATAAATATTCTATTTTTTCTATTCTATGATTAAAACCATTATGTGTGACTTTATTTTAATGTCAGGTTTTAATAATAGAATAAAAATGTTAATAATAAAAAAATTGCAAATAGTATTATTTGTAATGTAGTATTTTAATAAAACAACTATTAATTATTATCTATTAATACAACAAATTATCTAATGAGTTGCTGAAGTCAGACTTTATTTTTACATTAACATTTCAGGAAAGGGAATAAGAAATACCATATTGATTAGATTGATAAAGATTTTATATATCTATATATACAGATTATAATTTATACTATTGTAATTTGTTTATACATCAGTATATGCAATATAATAATTATATATTAAGGAGCTACATACATTCTCGACGTCGAAAAATTAATTTTTTTAAAAGTGTTGATTTCGAGAACATTTGTGCCTCTTAATATATAATTATATAATTATATATGTGTGTATAATTATATAATTATATTTATCTATTTATATAATTATAGATTCATATGTGTATATAATTATATAATTGCATTATAAAATTACATAACATAATATATAATTATATAAGTATATAATATATAATTATATAAAAGTATGTACATTATCTAATATCCTTCTGTACAACACTAATCGGCTAAAATATTCCACCCACGCGATGATAATTAAGCTGAGCGTGCTGGGCATAATCGTACCCTTGGTCGTACCAGTCCGACGTTGTCCCCGCCGTATTCGGGGTACTCGAGGACTGAGTACTCTGCGAACTCGCGTGCTGATGACTGCCTGAGCCGTACTCGCTGCTCTGGAAATGATTGAACTGACCCCAACCGAGCTGCGTTCTGGTCCAATCGGTATTACCTGAGGGTCAAAGACAAAATATGAACTTTAATACATCTTCAAGCTTGGTAAAATCTCGAACACGTAAGATTTCGAGCAATGTCTCATTTTTTTCGATACTATAGGCATCACAGACGCGCAATTGCGCACTACTGTCAAAATATGCGATGACAGTTTACGAAGTAAGCGCAAAGAGAACCAATTGACATCGCAATTTTGAGAAATGCGAGTAATCGATTTTACCACTGTCTTTTTTTAGCCTTTCCAAATTCAAAATTCATAACTCCTGCAAATTTATCGATATATCAGAGCTTAGGATAATAAAAACGGGTCTAAAAAATGTTTGAAACGTGAAGGCATCTTACAATTAGTACAGTCTCCCGACTTCTTCCAAGAACTCGGAAACTCGCAGATCTTGTAAAGTACTCACCGGCGTTGTGCGAAAGGGACGTCGGCGTACCGTGCGCAGCGGGTGGTTGCATCGCCGGTACCTGCGTGATTTGCACAGAGGCTGCGTGCGCCGGAAGCGAGCCGATGTGACCGGAAATGGCGACCGCGTGTCCCTGAAGGGCGCCGCTCATCGTGGTGGGCACCTGGGCCATCGTGCTCGCCATTTGGGCGACGGCGGTGCTGCTGGGGACCTGGTGAACGCTGCTAGGCGCCTGGTGCAGCGTCGTCGGGCTGTGATGCAACGTCGTGGGTACCTGCGGTATTCCGCCCGGCATCTGCGGCACCTGCGGTATCTGCACGAGCTCGTGGCTAGCCGCGGCGTATTGGCAGGGCGTCAACGGCAGATTCGTCATCGAGTGCGGTATGCTACCGCTGTGTTTGCGAAGTCGCGCCCTGCGATTGCTGAACCACACCTGAAACGGTGCGCATGACACTATGGCGGTGGCACCCACTCGATGGAATCGATTTGTCAGTAATAGCGACAAAGGCATTAACGTTTTTTTTTTTACGCGCGCTGTGTATAGCCTACAGTACGTAGTACAGCGCAAGCAATATCCTGGCTTTTATTGCTTCCTCGAATTTCTACGTCTCTCCTTTGCTCCCTCGAATTCACTCTTGAATTATATCTACGTAATCAGCGTTACATAGATAGATAACTTAGAGAGAATCTCAGTTAGCAAAATAATTTTAACGATATAAAGACATATTTTTTCAATGTTTCTAACAACGATTTGTAAAAAGATACCAGAAATTCTGTTTGAATTATCATGATCGATGTTATATACTTTACGTTAACGTACGTCGGTTGTATTAACGTCACGCGATACTCACCTGAATCCTTGCCTCCGTCAATCCAGTTCTCTGAGCTAAGTCCTCCCTGGAGTACACGTCTGGATATTGAGCACGTTGGAACGCAGTTTCCAGCTGTTCGAGTTGTTCGCCAGTGAATGTTGTTCTGCTTCTGCGTTGCTTTCGTTTCAGTGGAATGCCTGGCTCGCTTTCTGTGTCAGAGTCGTCACCGCAGCGACCTGAGAAGTCGTAAAAACAACGATCATTGTCATATTTAAGAGAATTATTCAGAGAAAAGTATTTAAGAAATTCCAAAAATTCAGATTGACGTCTGTTCCAAATGACTTATCAGAAAATCTTATGCTAATTACTGGAGCTCCGAGATCGCGATAAATATTCTCTTGAATGCAATTAATATTGTATTAGTTCCGCAGTTATTAATAAATAAGAACGTTACTATAATGCGTTACATTTAAAAATCAATCCAAAACGTCTAATACATGTATTCTTAATGTGCCATATTGCCACATATTTTACACCTGTCTATTTTAAACGTAAATTATCATTAAAATTCGTAAAATCGTATCGAATCGATATTTCATCGTTTTTAAAATGAGAAATTTGTCAATTTTCTTAATTTTCTATTAAGATCAGTATCACTAACATAATGACTCAGAATTTAGACTCAGGCTAAGAAGAGACTAGATATTTAAAAAGTACATAATTAATAACAATTTGAATAGTAAGTAACTCTTGTTAACACTCCATTATTATTACTACTATTACTGGTTATAGTTCTTTGATGTTTACTTTTTTTCGGTTGAATATTCCCATCTTTTGAAAATTGGATCACTACACGATAAATTGAAGTACAAGATCATGTATTTCTTTCTAAGAAAATCGTTTAGCGTACAAATTATTGTTTCATCGATGTTTCATCTGGATTCACCATAAATAAAAATTATATCAATTTGTTCTGCGACTGTTAGGTTTTTCGTGTTTTGCACATTATAATCAATTAATTAAACTATATTTATCTAAATGACTCACAAACATAAAATGACTACTCGTAATTTGGTGCGTTTGAAACAACAATTTGTTTACAATTTCCTCGGTTCTGACCTTTTTTTAATCACAAACATTACTGACATTGTAATTCGAGAACACTCTCATCACTCTTTTATAAAACGTATTGAGAAGTGTGGTTAACAGAAAAGGCTTTAAAGCATCTTTTTTGAAAATATCACAAAATCAGCTTTAAGAATATGCAATAAAAAAATATGGGTTAATAATTAAGAAAGTGGAGATGATCTTGACCTGACCTTACCGTTGCCTTTCAAGAGAAAACTGATTTCATATTAATCTCTTGAAATTGAATAACTTTCATCTAAAACACATTTTTTCTAAAATGCTTTCTTTTCAATATGTTCAAGTGTCTTAAGTTAAATGACTCATCCTGTGTACACGAGTATTCAAGTTTCTTCGTTATTAGTTCTGGTTTATTAGTAGATTATTAACCCTTTTGAAAAATATAAATAAAAAAAAAATAATATGCAAAGTCAAATGTCTTTCCTTTTTTTCGTAAATTATGAGCGTGCTTACAACCGGGAAAATTTTCGCGATGTCGAAAGGATCCTTTAAATTCTGCGGCGATTATTAATTGGTGTTAAAACGGCCGTCACTGCTAATCGATAAATCGTCGAAAAAGCCGCTCTGTCACTCAGCCCGCCGTTGCATCGCCGATGAACTCGCCTCTTTCTCTGAATGGGATATTGATGAGACGATGATCATCATTTGTATAATACGCGTATCCGACGACGGCTATTCCGCACAGTCATCGTATTTCCTATGGCTTAATTGTTTCCTATGATTGAATTCAACACGTTTCACCTAATATTTCAGCATGTCGTCACGGGTTCATTCTCATAATTCGTCGTACAGCGCGCCACGATTATTTATAAAAATATTTCATTTACATATTTTACATTTTCGTTAATTAAGTTCGATCGAAATGAATAAAAAAAAAAATCTATACACGTCCATCAATTTTATGTAAATACAAGAATTCTGATATTCCGGTTTAAAGCCCTTCCAATCTATCTTCGCTTGCATGAAACAATTTTATGCGTTCTGCATACGTTCGCATGTATATACTACGTATACCGCAGTCATTAAAGCATCCATAAAGTGCTCGTAAAAGGCAAGCAATGGTTACCACCATGTTCACCGCCATCTTGCCTCGTTTTCATAGTTTTGATATGTTTTATGATCGACCACTTTTTTTCAGCGGGGCCGGTTACTCCTTGAAGAGTTTAACGTCGACATAATGATGATTTCTTTATAAAAGTTTCTCCGTTTATTGTTATGAAAGTTATGTAGGGAGGGGGGGGGGACATTGTCTAGAATAATTAACAACTTGACAAAGACAAATCCGCAAATGCGTCCTCTTTAGTCAGTTTTTTCTTCTGCCCCTCTGAGAATTTTTCTAAAATTATTTTATATATATTTTAACAGCCTAAAGAGATTGACAATCTCTTCTTGGAAATTCGTTTATTCTTCTCGGAATTTGAAATACTGTCTGCCGTGCACGGCCACGGTCACTTATCGCATTGAAGTTAATCTTCACTTCTCGAAACCTATTTCCCATAGAAGGCCCAGTCTTTCTGGTCGAGGACAATAACGATGATGCCTCCGTTTCATCGTTGGTCGACCGTTCGATACTTGGAATTAAATCTTCCCCGAAGAATTC